CCAAGGCCTTCTCTTATGAGGCCTTTGTGAGCCTCACAAGGCCTTGCACGGCGCTGACAGCAGCCACTTTCACCCGGGAGCCACCACCCTGCCTCCTCCCTGGCCGGGCCCAGCGAGCTCCCTTCAGCAGACATGGATGTTCCAGGGCCTTGCCCTGCTCCTGAATCCTGAGCCATCAGCACGAAGACGACAACAGCAAAGGTCAACTGGGGACGGGGAGGCAGATGCAGGCGGCAGCAGAGTGCAAGGCGGCCAAAAGGGCAGAGATTGGGGGGAAATAGGTGGGGGGGGGTTGAAGCAGAGGCAAGCGCTGCACGGTGGTGGAGCAGGGATCTTGCTGGGCCTGGATGGGGAGGAGGCATGGCGACAGAGCTGGGAGTTTGCACAAGGCAAGAAAAGTGTGACATCCTCACATAGCGACCGCGACCTAGACTACCAGAAATGTTGTTGCTAAGTGCGCATGGGCCTGTGATGTTTCACCTAACAGTTGCTTTGCTTAATGATGGAAAGTTGTGGTCACTAAGCGAGGACTACCTGAAATTCTTAGGACTTCAGGATGAAATTAATATATTAGAAAATCCGCTTCCATGTTAATCGAACAGCATTTTAAAAGATGGAAAGTTGTGGTCACTAAGCGAGGACTACCTGAAATTCTTAGGACTTCAGGATGAAATTAATATATTAGAAAATCCGCTTCCATGTTAATCGAACAGCATTTTAAAAAATTCTACATGAGATCTTTATTATGGCATTATATGAATTAAAGTATCTTTGGCACCTTCAGGAATGGATAATTAATCAAACCAAACCTTGGTTCAAAGTAGAAATTCAATTGTTATTTTCCTTCATGTTAATTCTTTGAAACAAAGTAAAACTTTAGCTCCCACTAAATCTCATTTCACATTGCAAACATGTTTCCTCTCCTGTGCTAATTCTTTCATTAATTTCTTTCATGTTCACTCTTTTCCCTTCTGAATGTCTTTCAACAATCCAAGCTTTCATTTGTTTTCTCTCCTGTGAGAATTGTTTTTGTTTCCTCAGATTTTCATTAATTCTAAATCTCTTTCCAAATTCATTCATGTAACTTCTCTTCTGTATGCATTTTTCTATCTTGTCATAAAAGCTCTTTTCACATTCCAGACATTTATATAGTTTTTCTCCTGTGTGGATTCTATGATGTTGATTGAGATATCCATAATCAATTAACCTTTTTCCACACTCCCTGCATGGACAGAATTTCTCTCCTCTGTGAAGTCTTTGACAGTTTTTGAGATATTCAGTCTGTCTCAAGCTTTTCCCACATTCTATGCATTTATAGGGTTTCTTTTCTGGGTTGATTCTGTGATGCTGACTGAGATGTCCACTATTAGTAAAACCTTTTCCGCACTCCAGGCGTTTATACAGTTTCCTTCCTGAATGGATTTTTTGATGTGTATAAAGTCTTCCGCTCACACTTAAGCTCCTTCCACACCCCAGGCAGTTATCTAGTTTCTTCCTGAATGGATTTTTTGATGTCTATAAAGGGTACCCCTATGACTGAAAATCTTTTCACATTCCAGGCATTTATACGGTTTCTCTCCTGAATGGATTCTTTGATGTCTATAAAGGTGTCCCCTTTAACTGAAACTCTTTCTGCACTCCAGGCATTTATATGCTTTCTCTCCTAAATTGATTTTTTGATGTGTACAAAGGCTTCCCCTCTGACTGAAGCTCTTTCCACAGTCCAGGCAGTTATAAAGTCTCTCTCCTGAATGGATTCTTTGATGTATATAAAGGCTTCCCCTCTGACTGAAGCTCTTTCCACACTCCAAGCAATTATATGGTTTCTCTCCTGTATGGTTTCTTTGATGTATATAAAGGCTTCCCCTATGACTGAAACTCTTTCCACACTCCAGACATTTATGTAGTTTTTCTCCAGTGTGAATTCTTTGATGTCTGTAAAGGTGTCCCCTACAACTGAAGCTCTTTCCACACTCCAGGCATTTATATGGTTTCTCTCCTGAATGGATCCTTTGATGTCTATGAAGGTTTCCCCTATGACTGAAACTCTTTTCACACTCCAGACATTTATGTAGTTTTTCTCCAGTGTGAATTCTTTGATGTTGACGGAGCGATACACACTCAGTAAAGCTTTTTCCGCACTTCAGGCATTTATAGGGTTTTTCTCCCGAATGGATTCTTTGATGTGCATAAAGGCTTCCCCTCTGACTGAAACTTTTTGCACACTCCAAGCAATTATGTGGTTTCTCTCCTGAATGGATTTTTTGATGTGTATCAAGATTTCCCCTGCAAGTGAAACTTTTTCCACACTCCAAGCAATTATATGGCTTTTCTCCTGAATGGGTTCTTTGATGTGCAGAAAGGCTTCCCCTCTGATTGAAACTCTGTCCACACTCTAGGCAGTTATAAGGCCGCTCTCCTGTATGGATTCTTTGATGGCATTTAAGATGTCCATTTATAATGAAACACTTTCCGCACTCCAAGCATTTATATGGTTTCTCTCCGGAATGGATTCTTTCATGTCTATGAAGGCTTCCCCTCTCACTGAAGCTCCTTCCACACTCCAGGCATTTATAGGGTTTCTGTCCTGAATGGATTCTTTGATGTCTATAAAGGCTTCCCTTCAGACTGAAGCTATTTCCACACTCCAGGCATTTATACGGTTTTTCTCCTGAATGGATTCTTTGATGTCTATAAAGGCTTCCCTTCAGACTGAAGCTATTTCCACACTCCAGGCATTTATACGGTTTTTCTCCTGAATGGATTCTTTGATGTCTATAAAGGCTTCCCTTCAGACTGAAGCTATTTCCACACTCCAGGCATTTATACGGTTTTTCTCCTGAATGGATTCTTTGATGTCTGTAAAGGTGTCCCCTACACCTGAAGCTCTTTCCACACTCCAGGCAATTATAAGGTCTCTCTCCTGAATGGATTCTTCGATGTCTAAGAAGGCTTCCCTTCAGACTGAAGCTATTTCCACACTCCAGGCATTTATACGGTTTTTCTCCTGAATGGATTCTTTGATGTCTGTAAAGGTGTCCCCTACACCTGAAGCTCTTTCCACACTCCAGGCAATTATAAGGTCTCTCTCCTGAATGGATTCTTCGATGTCTAAGAAGGCTTCCCTTCAGACTGAAACTCTGTCCACACTCTAGGCAGTTATAAGGCCGCTCTCCTGTATGGATTCTTTGATGGCTTTTAAGATGTCCATTTCTAATGAAACACTTTCCACACTCCAGGCATTTATACGGTTTCTCTCCTGTATGGATTCTTTGATGTCTTTCAAGATGTTCATTTGTAAGGAAGCTTTTTCCACACTCCAGGCATTTATACGGTTTCTCTCCTGTATGGATTCTTTGATGTGTATAAAGGCTTCCCTTATGACTGAAACTCTTTCCACACTCCAGGCAATTATAAGGTCTCTCTCCTGAATGGATTCTTTGATGTCTTTCAAGATGTTGATTTGTAATGAAGCTTTTTCCACACTCCAGGCATTTATATGGTTTCTCTCCTGTATGGATTCTTTGATGTATATAAAGGCTTCCCCTATGACTGTAACTCTTTCCACACTCC